TAGCAGGGTTTGAGGGACCATGAGAGGTTCTGAGTTGTATGAGTGCAAGGCAAGCACCCTATCGACTACAATATCTCTTTGGCCTCTGTTCCACTATTTTAAGGAAAAGAAGACCCACTTCCCATGTCATTCCCCACAGGCAGATATGGTTCAATTTCACATAGCTCCATGTGACTCAAATAACATTTTGGGTTCTGTGACCCAGTCCATGGCTCCAACACTCACATAATGTGCTGCAAGATTAGGAAGGTACATTATGCTCACCCCATACTGTACTTCTTCAAATAGGGGCCAGATTTGAGCTCTGAGGCCAGGTTAATAAGACTGGAATTGTTATGGTGCTATCATGTCATCACCTTTAGAATGGAGTAACAGTGACAATGACCTCATGGGGTTGCTGTGAGGAAGAGAGGAACTGATTCCTTCAATGCAGTTTACTGCCTCGGAAATGGGATCCCTAAATGCCAGTAATTGTTATTGTAAAAGCCAGGGCTTGGTTGCAAATGATGATCATTTTGTGTTGGTGGCTGGACAACTACGTAGGCTCATCTCTTGTCATTTTTAGATTAGTTCAGGTAAATGGAAACTTTAGAAGAATTTTCATTAAGGCCTAATATGACTCTCTTGGAGAACACTCTTTACAGAGTAAGTCTATTTCCCATATTGTTGCAGCTAAATATATGACTGATGCCCACATGCTAAAATTTTTAGGGAGGTTTTGAGGTAAAAGAGAGTATCTTTAATATTGTCTCCAAAGTGCCTGGGTATCTCAGTCAATAGAGCATGATACTCTCATAATCACTGTCACTGTCCTCCCGTTGTTCATCAATTTGCTCGAGCGGGCCCAGTAACATTGTGAGACTTGTTACTGTGTTTGGCATATCGAATACGTCACGGGGAGCTTGCCAGGCTTTGCCATGTGGGCGAGATACTCTTGGTAGCTTGCCTGGCTCTCCAAGAGGGGCGGAGGAATCGAACTCGGGTTGGCCATGTTGGCTGCATGCAAGGCAAATACCCTACCCACTGTGCTATCGCTCCAGCCCACTCTCATAATATTGTCCCCAATTTCTTCTCCATGTTTCAGGAATTACTACATACATCATTACTAGATAATTTAGCTTCTTAAACTATGCCTGTGATGACCCCCTGCCCCTCAATTGGGGCTTGTGTAACTGAATGTGGGGTTTCAAAAATTTTGGCAATAGTAAAAAGGCTATGAACATGCAAAGAACAAAAATTACCTTAACATCAACCATGTAATGAATCTAAGATGTTTCTAGCAGTGTTTGTCTATATTGTATTTATTAGGCAATAGAGGCTGTGAATGGACCTGAGCTAGAGAAAGCCACCAAAATAAAGCCACCAGCACTGTGTGAACAATGCATGGACCGAGGGAAACCCCCAGCAAGGCCTGATGCTTTTGGATTACAGTCAGGTCCAGTGCAATGAACTCCGGGACTTGAATTCTTTCTAAGATGAACTCAAGGGGTCTTCCAGCCAGACACACCACCAGGAAATAGTAAAGGCCACTCTGGAACGACCATTAAGATCCCCAGACTTGGCTGTCCAACAATCCACATAAGCTGAGGCTCTGAAAATAAAAGCCTTGGACACTTTTTTCCTCCTCCAAACTCCTGGTTCAGATTCAACTTGAAGAAATGCATTTTTTTTTCTACCAGGAAATTTATTGTGACTCCCTCTGACCAAACTACACTTACTGTCTTCCCAGGGACATTCAAAGAGGCACGCTGATGCTGTGCCAGCAGAGGGCAGGTCAGCCAACTTCATTATGGCAGGCACAGCCCTTGGGAACCATTTCTAGCTTGGATCACCGCACAACCTCCTTGGAGTCATAGTCCTGACATCTCCAAGACAGTGGGGGAAGGTTCATATTCCAGCCACATTTCTGCCTGGACTTTACTGGCCAGACTGTGGGAAGGAAGACACTGTATGTCTCAGAATGTTTTGAGGAGCAACAAGCAGGTAGGTCATGGAGGAAGAAGCTAGAGCACAGTTTTTGTTTTGTTTTGTTTGGTCAGGTGGCTTGCCCTGTCTTCCTGGCAGAGACCTGGGAACTCAGTGCTTGGGGCGGTGGGAGGGGGGAGGGGCGGTTGTGGGGTGGTGGTGGATGGACACAAGTGAAGAACCAGCTGCTCTACTGCTTAGGGCTAAGCCTTGACACTCACTCTCATTGCAGATCTTGCCCAGAGCTCAGGCCCCAGTGAGAAACAGGGTTCTCATTAATTTTTTAATTGAATCACAATAAGATTACAAAGCTTTTGTGATTGGGTTTCAGTCATACAATGTTCCAACACTCATCCCTTCACCAGTGTACATTTTCCACCACTAATATCCCCATTATCCTCCACTGACCCCCCCCCCCCCCTACACACACAGCCTATCTCTAATTAGGGCAAGCACTTTAATCTATCTATCTATCTATCTATCTATCTATCTATCTATCTATCTCTCCCATTTTGGGCATTATGGTTTGCAATACAGATACTGAGAGGCCATCATGTTTGGTCCTTTACCCATTTTCAGCACATATCTCTCATCCAGAGAAATCCCTTCCAACCACCATTTTCATAAGGGTCCCTTCTCTATCCCAACTGCTCTCTCCCCAGCCCTTAAGGCAGGCTTCCAACCGTGGACCATTCATCATAGTCCTTGCAAAAAAAATTAACTCAGACCTCTGTCTAACACCAAGCACAAAGGTCAGATCAAAATGGATTAAAGAAAATAGGTAAAGGGATATACAAGACAGTATTTCAGAATCTGTACTGCAAAGCACAATGACCAAAAGGTGAGAGAGACAGATAGAGGTAGAGGGAGAGACACAGAGAGAAGAGCCTGCCATAGAGACAGGTTGGGGGTGAGGTGGAGGTGATGGGAGGAAATTGGGGTCACTGGTACTGGAAATGTAAGCTGGTGGAGGGATGAGTATTGGAATACTGTATGACTAAAACATAATAATGAACAGCTTTGTAAGGGTCTATATCACAGTAATTAAATTGAAAAAAAAAACAGGATTAAAGACCTCAATATCAGACCTGAAGCCATAAGGTACGTGGAGGAAAACATAGGCAGAATCCTCCATGACATTGAAGATAAAGGCATCTTTGAAGATGAAACACCACTGATCAAGCAAGTAGAAGCAAAGATATACAAATCTATATTTAGCTAAGAAGCTTCCGCACCTCAAAAGAAATGATGATCAAGATACAAATAGCCTAAAGAATGGGAAAAATTATTCACCCAATAATCATCAGTAAGGGGTTAATAAGACATACAAGGCACTGGTAGAAATTTATAAGGAAAAAAAAAACCAATCCCATCAAAAAAATGGGAAGAAGAACAGAAACTTCCTTAAAGAAGAAATATAAATGGCCAAAAAAGCACATGAAAAAATGCTCTACATTGCTAATCATCAGGGAGAGAAGGATTCTTTTTTTTTTTTAATTTTTTATTAGTGAAATACCATGAGGTACAGTTGTAGATTTACAAATGTTTGTGCTTGGGTTTCGATTATACAATGATCAAGTACCTATTCCTCCACCAGTGCCCATTTCCCACCACCATGGATCCGAGTATCCCTCCCACACCCATACCCCCCATCCCACCCTGCCTCTGTGGCAGGGTATTCCCTTCTGTTCTCTCTCTCCTTTTGGGTGTTGTGGTCTTCAAGAGAGGCATTGAGTGGCAATCGTGTTCAGTCCATAGTTTACTTTCAACATGTATCTCCCCTCCTGGGAGGATCCTCCAAACACCCTTTATTTGGTGCTCCCTTCTCTATCTGAGCTGCCCTTTCCACTAGAATGCCCAGCTGGCCTCTAAGCCATGGAGTAATCCTCCTGGTATCGATCTCAGCTATTCTTGGGTATTAATCTCCTATTTTGTTACTTTATGTCCCCTAGATGAATGCAATCTTTTTATGTCTATTCCTCTCTTGAAGAAGGATTCTTATCTTGTTTCTCATCACCATGGACAAGGCATTGGTCCTACTCAGAACTTCCTTGTCACCAGCTATTTGACCCAGATCCTTTAGCTGCACTCCTGTTATTCGTTCTGAATTCTGTCCCTGGTTTTACTACTAAAATAACTTTCTTTTAGAAATGGAATATTCTCTTGTTTTTCAGGGACTGGATTCTGTTCCAGCATACTAAGGAGAACTGCAGCATATGAATGAGCCTGCACCCCTGAGGTTGTTCCATTCTATGTTGTTAACTCTAACAGACAGACAATGGTCTGGCCTCACTTCTCCTTCCAACCCAGTTCCAGGTCAATACTTTATTTTTCTCACACCACCCTCACTTCCTGGCTTAGTTGCCATATATGTAGATGTCTGCTGAGTGCCTACTTTGAAGTTCTCTTCTGCTGAACTACCTGTCCAGTCTGTGTTTACCTTATTGCCCCACCCTTATGGGGGATAAGATGTCTGCAGGAAGAACAATCCTGCCAATAAGTTCCCAGACTTGTAATCAATTGCTATTATTGAGGGATGAGAAAAGTTTATGCAGCTTTTTTAGGCACACCAGTTACTTACAATGTTAAGCAAATCTTAATCATCTTCTGGAAAGAACAGACTCCATTTCTCCACTCAAAAATGTACATTTATTTCTGAATAGTCACACTATGCCTGTCTAAAATTGCAACGCCTTCTCCAGTTCTCCTTAATTTTCCCATCTCCTTCTCCCTCAGAACCTTTTTCTTCCATATTACATACTGTACTGACTTCTCTTATTTACTATTTAGCCATCCTGCTAGAATAGGAGCTCCATGAGAGTAGGGATTTTGATGTATTTTGTTATGCCTGCTCAGAGTAATTCTTAGTCCGGAGACATCACTGAACCAGTAGGGGTGAGATGATGCAGTGGGTAGTGTATGAAGATATGCTTTGCTCCTTGATGGACAAGCCACCAGCACCCAAGGCTATGGCCATTCTGGTTCCTAGAAACGCACATGCTGGGTTTCTGCTCCCCCCACCACATAGCACTCACCTTCAGCTTGTGCTCATGCTCCTTGTTGACACGTGCAAGCAGCTGGGCTTTCCTTCTGTTGAGGGCATCAATGAGGGCATCACACTGGGCCACCAGGCAGGCTTCAAACTCCACACTGTTCTCCTGTGAAAGAGCATACCTCTCAGCCTGGATACTCCTACAACTCAGGCCTCCAGGGGAAATGAAGCTCTCCACCCATTTACAGAGTAGCGATGTTGCCCAAAGAGAATGAAAAGAAACTGTCCACAATATGCATTTGGCAATCAAAAACTGTGTGAGGGATGGGGGTGGGAGGGATACTGGGATCCGTGGTGGTGGGAAATGGGCACTGGTGGAGGGATGGGTATTTGATCATTGTATAATTGAAACCAAAGCACAAAATTTGTAAGTCTACAACAGTACCTCATGGTGTCTCACTAATAAAAATTTTTAAAAAATGGTGTGTGTGTGTGTGTGTGTGTGTGTGTGTGTGTGTGTGTGTCGGCAAGGCAAATGCCTTACCAGCTGCACTCTCTATCCATACTCTCAAAAAAACCTTTAAAATAATAATTCAGGGCAAAAGTACTTACCTTTTTTTTATTAAGGAAGGCACATAATGAGTTCCAGTAGGTAATCATGCATGTAGCTAGTGTAAAAATAAGACGTGAAATAAGACGTGAACACACAGGTTGTAGGGGAAAGGGCATCATGTGACTATGAAGCCGTAAGTCAAGTAAATGATGTGCCATGATGGTTAAGTCAAAGGCTGGATCTAGATTTTACTTGATTAAAAGCTTTATATGCTATAGACAGTTTCTTTAAATAAGCCTTTCACTAAAAGAATTCATGGACTGGAGTGATAGCATAACAGGAAGGGAGAGCTCTTGCTTTGCATGTGGCTGACCTGGGTTCAACCCACAGCACTGCATATGGTCATTTGAGCCCAGCCAGACCCCTGAACAGAGAGTCAGGAGCAAGTCCTGTGCACTGCCAAAACAACAACAAAAAATTAGTAAGGGTTAATTAAAGGTTAATTAAAAATTATTCTTTCAGTAGGTTACATATATAATTTTGACTCTTAAACCATAATCTGAAAACAATTATAATTTACAATTAATGAAGGGCAGAGCACTTACACATTCCCTAGTAACATTGAAAACTGAGCATCTAGCTGAATCATTGTTAGCTTTGGTAGGGGGTGTTGCAAGGAAGGAACAGCTTAGTCTATTAAAATTTAATTTATTTCCCAAAGTATTATTTCTTAATAAAATAATACATTCATTGATAGGTATTTTGTAGCTAGTTTGAAATGAAATATGTTCTTTGTATTAGACCTTCATGACTTTGTATATTACCTTCATGACTGAACAGTGATGTTCAGTTGTTAAGTTTTAGCTTTCATGGTTAATGCTTTTGGGTTCTTATAGAAGTTATTTAAGAGCTTTCTATGTCCCAATGTAGTTTAATATTGGGAGAAATGGAAGGGCCTTCTTCAGGTCTGATTTAGAAGTGAAAGAAAGCTTTTATCTAATGAAATGCTTAGGTGTAGAGGAAAGCTTAGTACATTTTATGCTAGTAGAAGCAAAGAAAGAACTGACTGATAAGCTCTATTGCTTTGGAAAGGAAGTATGCAACTATTAGGTTATTAGGGGACTAAAAGTTGTATTAAAATGCTCATGAATGTCAAGAGGGCAAAGAAATCACTGTGAGATGTTCTGAGAGGTTACTTATTTTGGAAAATATCCTGAAATCCATTTCTGGTTTTCCATGGTTTAAATGTTAGTTTGGAAAACCAACAGACGAATAGCTTGGGCTATCTCTGTGAGGCAAACCTCAAAATATAATAAGAGAACTGTACAGAAGGCTATTGTTTTAGCATCTCATGTAGTTTATTATAGTGCCTTCCCTTCAGCTACAGTGGAGAAATGATAAACTTTCAAATACTGGGTGACAAGTTAGTAATTGTGTCTAAATAAGGCAAAAATGAAATAATAATTACCAGGGAATCATGATAAAAATTACTTAATTATCTAATTAGAGAAAGAAAATTATTATGAAAAAGGAAAAAAGGAAAGAAGGAGGGAAAGGAAGAAGGATGAGAGTGAAAAAAAGGAAAAGTGTGACCTAGTTTTACCATTAAATACAAATATAATCATTGCAAGATGTTTGGGGAATCTATGCATTTTTAAGTCAATAAAATGACTGAATTCATAAAGAGGCTTCATTGCAAATAACCAGAATTTGAGAATTAGGATCTAGAGTGGAACAGAGAAATCATTTGGCCCCCATGTTGTGTTTCTGGGATATTAGAAATATGTAGACATCCTTCTTGCCCTGCCGAGACCACGAGTTCCTCCCCTCCCCCGCTGAGCAGCTCTTCAGCACGGCCATGGCCCCAGAGGCACACAAACCAATCTCGGAACTACATGGCTTTTGGCAAAAATTCCTCCAGACTTAATTAGTAAAATATCAGAAACCTAAAATTGCGTGGCCACTATATCAGCCATGCGACTTCATATAGTCTTCATGAACAGCAATAGAAAACAAATTATTTCACAGTGCCTTTTCAGCAGGTTTGATTGTTGGGGGAAAATTCCAAACAATAATGGTGCATCTTTTGCTGAAATAATGAATGTAATCAAAGTAGAGAGAGAGTTAAGTGGAAATCATCTGCTTCACAGGCATGAAGAGGGGTGGGGTGGGGGGTATATTGGGGTTCTTGGTGGTGGAAAATATGCACTGGTGTAGGGATGGCTGGTGTAGTCATTTGATCATCAAATGACTGAGACTTAAACCTGAAAGCTTTGTAACTGTTCTCACGGTGATTCAATAAAATAATAAATAAATAAAATAAAGGCCCTCCCGTTGATCATCGATTTGCTCGAGCGGGCCCAGTAACGTCTCCATTGGAGACTTTGTTGTTACTGTGTTTGGCATATCGAATACGTCACAGAGAGCTTGCCAGGCTCTGCCGTGCGGGCGAGATACTCTCGGTAGCTTGCTGGGCTCTCCGAGAGGGGTGGAGGAATCGAACTCGGGTCGGCCATGTTGGCTGCATGCAAGGCAAATGCCCTACCACTGTGCTATCGCTCCAGCCCCATATACTCGCTTTGGCCCAGCTCGCTTCGGCAGCACATATACTAAAATTGGAACGATACAGAGATTCAATAAATAAATTTAAAAAAGAATAATACAGTTATGCAGTAACTGAAATAACTAAAGCAAAAAAATAAAAAAGAAAGAAATGTAGACATCATCACAAATCACAAATCATCCTGTTATTCATTGATTGCCTCGAGCAGGCCCCAGTAATGTCTCTTTCATCCTAGCCCTGAGATTATATTCAAGGCTCTTTAGGAGAATGAGACCCATCATTGTTACTGGTATTTGGCATATTGGGTACGCCACGGGGAGTTTGCCAGACTCTGCCATGTGGGCAGGCTACATTTGGTAGCCTGCCAGTTTGTCCAAAGTAGGAATGAGATAATAAGATGTCATAATAAGATGTCGGTTCCGGGAGCTGGTTTTTATAGTCTCTGAGTCTTGGCCGTTGATGGGATTACACGGCACCAAGACTCAGAGACTATAAAAACCAGCTCCCGGAAGAGAACAGTGCAGTCTCCTGCCCCCGCACCTGGCTGTCCTCGCCGGGGCCCCTTGGAGGGGAGCGGGTTGAGCTTTCCTCCCCGCCCCGACCAGGGCTCTGGCTACCAAAGACCTCCAGGACCAGCCACCACCATGCTGAGACCACTTTCTGCACACATGTAGACATCATGGTACTTGAAAAAAGTACATTACAAAGTAACAATAATAATAACGGTTACATAAGTGTCAAAAAATATGTAAATGCCTCAAAAGGGGTATACTTGTAATTGAACTTTACGTATGTTTGTATGTATTAGAAGAGATAAAGTAGAACAAAATAAATGGAAATTTCCAGACCAAGTAAGAGGAAAGAAAAAGAGAAACATCTCACTCTCCAAGTACATCTTACAAGTTTACATTCAGTCTTAGGTGCTGCCAGTACCTGGATCTGCTGCACCATGTTGCGGAGTTGCACCAGGAACTCCTTGGCTTCTTTGGCCCGGTCTGAGAGTCCATTCAGCGCCTGGGAGAGCTGGCTCTGCAAAGACGAAGAAAGAAACCACAGAGTTGTAATCACAGGAATGAGCTTAAGGCCAGCACAGGGCTTTGATGTAAGACTCAAGAGTTCTCAGCTTCCTCCATTATATTTTTTAAGTTTAGGTCACTGAGTTGACATTTTTATATGAGAATTCTGTAAACAATGGTGTGAAGAGTCTTTCTACAGTTTTCCTGGGCGGTTTCTCTTGTGATACCATGAACACTTTTGGTCACAGTTATCACAGGCCTGTACCAGCTGGTATCGGCCCAGAATTCCTCATCTCATTAAGTAGACATTTCAGAGATATTTTTTTAATTTTTTAAAAATTTTTATTTTATTTTATTTATATTTTTTTATTAGTGAAACACCATGAGGTACAGTTATAGACTTACAAATTTTTGTGCTTGGGTTTCAGTTATACAATGATCAAGTACCCATCCCTCCACCAGTACCCATCCTCCACCACCACGGGTCCAAGCACCTCTCCCACTCCCCACCCCCACCCCCCATCCCACCCTACCTCTGTGGCAGGGCATTCCCTTTTGCTCTCTCTCTCTCCTTTTGGGTCCTGTGTTTTGCAAGAGAGGCATTGAGTGGCAATCATGTTTGGTCTATAGTCTACTTTCAGCATGCTTCTCCCACCCTGGGAGGATCCTCCCAACACCCTTTATTTGGTGCTCTCTTCTCTATCTGAGCTTCCTTTTCCCTTAGCACGTGTAGCTGGTCTCCAAGTCATGGAGCAAAATTCCTGGTACTAATCTCGGTCACTTCTGGGTGTTAGTCTCCCATTTTGTTGCTTTATGTTCCCCAGATGAATGCAATCTTTCTGTGTCTATCCCGCTCTTTCTGACTCATTTCGCTTAACATGATACTTCCCATGTAGTACCACTTGTATGAGATAATTTATTTAATGTCTTTTGTTTACCAAAAATCAAAAAATAATCCAAACAGTGGGTCAGATGACTCAATAATGATCAAAAAATGGTTATTAGTCTGGGGGAAAATGAAGAGTTAAAAACAAAATGAGGAAAGGAAGGGTTAGGGCATTAGGTATGATGCTTTGGGCCATTTACATATAGATGACAGATACAAATGCCAGGGCATCATTCTTTTTCCACATCTTCTCTCACCCAGTAGATATCTGTTGCCCTAACTCCTTTCTACATCTTCTCTCTCCCAGTACAGACCAGTTGCCTGGTGTGGTTTTCCACATCACTCTTTTTCTATTTTCCCAAACCTCTCATTAATATGAATGCATTTCCGTCAGAGGAAGGGATGGACGTGAGGACAAATGTGTCCAAGTGAACACTAGTTTTCCCAGCCTGCCTTGCCTGCAGAGGAGGTTCCAGGACATAGTTCTGATTCTTTAAGTAGAAATTTAGTGCTACTAGAGCAGCTTCTTTCTTTTGTTCTCATCTGCCTTCACAGATGGAACTATCATAAAGAGAAGGCCTACATGTTGATAGAAAAAGAAAAAAATCTCTGTTCCAAAGGCATCTGAATAATCTAGCCTCGTACCACTAGGCTTTATATTATGTGGGGAAGGAAATTTAAATACTTTTAGCTAAATCCCTGTACAGAGGTTTTCTATACTTGGAGTCAGAATTACTGTATTTGGTACAGAATTCCTTTTAGCAGTCTGAGTATCTCTTTCCATCCTTTCTGTAAAACATAGAGAAAAGCTTCTCTTCTCACAATGCCTCTTTGGAAAAAATCCAAACCCCACTCTTCTTGCCAAAGCAATGCCTCATTCAGCTTTCAATTAATTATATCTCTTAAGCCTATGAATTTTTCTTTTATGATCCTTCAGTAAATACTTTTTAATTAGGTAAAAACTTTTAAAATATGCAGATCACAATGACAGATGCATGGATAAAGGAGCTGTGGTGTAAATACTCAATGAAATGCTAGTCTGCCATGAAAAAGATAAAATTATTCCATTTGGAAAAAGATGAATGAAACATTTTTTAGTGTTTTTTGTGTGTATGTGTATGTGTGTGTGTGTGTGTGTGTGTGTGTGTGTGTGTGTTTGTAATCCTCACTCTGCACTCAAGGATCACTCCTGATAGGGCTCAGATAGGGCCCAGATCAGCTTCATGCAAGGCAAGTACCTTAACCTTTGTAATATTTCTTCTGCCCCAGAGATAGATAAAACTAAAGAAATTGTGGGGCTGGAGTGACAGCACAGCAGGTAGGGCATTTGCCTAGCATGTGGCCAACCCAGGTTCGATTCTCAGCATCTCATATGGTCCCCTGAGCACCGCCAGGGATAATTCCTGAGTGCAGAGCCAGGAGTGACCCCTGTGCATCGCAGGGTGTGACCCAAAAAGTGAAACAAACAAACAAACAAAACTGAAGAAACTGTGGTAAGCAAAATATGTGATAATTACTAATATAATCATTCATATTTAGATATAAATAAGCTAAAGCAAACTTCTAAACTTGATGTAAACCACAGTGATTACTCGAGGGAAAGGGCATTAGGAGGAATGAGTAGGTTTTTTTTAGTGGTGAGATGGCACAGCATCTTGGGGATAGGGATGGTGATCTGAACACATTGTTAAGCAGTACTTGTGAAACTATATACTATAATCTAATAGTAAAAAAGTGAAAAAGGCCAATATAAGAAGTAGTGTGGAATGATTGTAGAAAAACACAGGCTTTGGAAAAGTTCCTAATACATTTTCCTGCACTGTAGCACTGTCTTCCCATTGTTCATCGATTTGCTTGAGCAGGCCCAGTAACGTCTCCATTGTGAGACTTGTTACTGTGTTTGGCATATCGAATATGTCACGGGTAGCTTGCCAGGCTTTGCCATGCGGGCAAGATACTCTCAGTAGCTTGCCGGGCTCTCCAAGAGGGGCGGAGAGAAGAATACTACTTTGGGCTATTGTAAGTCTTGTATGAGATAGGACAGTTAATGCCTAGATTACTGCTGACATATGGCCTATTACTCAATAAATATCTGATGCTATTCACTGTTATATATCTCTTTACTTCCGACTCACAAAACATGTGCTGACTGATTGGGGGGATGCAGATGGCAGATTCTTAGAATAGGATCTGTTAGAGGATATCCTTCAATACATGTGCCTTTGGTTGGAGGGGGCTTATCAAAAAGTGCTCAAGACTTGCTCTGTACTCAGAGGTCACTCTTGGGTTTGTTTGGAGGACCATATGTGGTTTCAGAGATCAAACCCAGGACAGCTTCATGAGAGGCCTTACCTGCTGTACATCTCTCTGACCCAACACTTACATTGCTCTAAATACTGGGGTTCTGGGAAGTCAGACCAATACAACTGAGTATGAAAGTGCCAAGTGAACTGAACCTGCAGTTACTTAAAGGTCTTCTCAGTTACTTATTACTAGGACCCGGCTGCACTATAATTTGGGGGTAATTATTTTCTCCTTAAGAAATTTCTACAGGAAGTGTAAAAAATTGAAAGAGGGTCTTAGGAACATACAATAAAAAGAGACTCATATTCTAAAGGATTTTTTATTTATACTTTAGAACTTTGTATTTCTGACTACATAATTTCATGCCTTTAATAAATTTATAACCTTACTTGGAAGTTGGAGTATTAAAGCCAAACTTATTCAGTTACATAGAACTGGTTAGCTGATTTCTTAGATTCAGTCTTGGATAATGTAGCTGCATAATGCTAGATGTTAGACCTCACATACCCTTAAAGAAGTGTAGCCCAGGTGAAGCAATGGTTAGGGAAAGAGGCTTGGTCCACACCTGGATGCGTTCAGGGCTTACTCTTTACTCTGTGCTCAGGGACCACATCATCTGGCAGGGCTCAGGGAACTATATGTAATGGTAAGGATAGAATTAAGTGGACTGAACTCAGACAAGCTCCTTATTTCTTGTACTATCTCTGTACCCCCTAGAAACTTTTCTCTTATGCTACAAAGAAATTGAGCAGAAGATAATAAAAAAATCTTGCAATCTATCATCAGAATAATGCTCCTATTAGAAAATTAATAGGTGCATTGCTTTTATAGGATAGCCTTTTGGTCACATTTATAAGCTACAACTGATGTATAAAAATGTTAGTATTGATTGATTTCATTTCCCAAAAGCGTTTAAAATTCTGCTTTGGGCTAACAGTGATATTTGTATTCAGGGCATAAGAACAAGACTGAAAATTTATGACCAGGAACACTGAAGATGTGAACATTTAGGTTACGTTTTTGTTATGGCACCTTTGGTTGCACAGGCCATTATGAGAAGCTGTTTATTATGCCAAAGCAACAACTTTCTGATTTTTTTATATTTCTTTTCCATATTTTCTGAAAAAGGTGTCATAATCAGGGAGTAAATGAGAATGAAAAAATGATTTATCCAAAGAAGGACTGATAAATTTCTAGTCAAGCGGTCAAAACATGTTCTGAATATTCTAGAAAGAGGCAAGTTATTTGGAGATGAAAGGAGAGGAATAAAATCTCTACCCTTCCTTTCCTCTCTTGCTTTCTGTTTGTTTCACTTCTACTTAAGCTTTGGTTCCACTCACCTCTCAGAGAACTGAATGCTACAGGAGACCAGAAGCTTCGCCTGTGAATGCAGAACCCATTATCATGTAAGCTCAGCAAATGGGTAATGAAATTCAGTCCATCCTGACCAATTCCTTATTTACTTACACATCCGGACAGCTGCCAAGCATGCTGAATGAAAACTGTCTCTTTTCTTTTTCCTGCCATAAACATTTAATCATGTGTCCTTTCCTCTCTCAGTTTACTCCACATATTGAATGGAGACAAATTGGGACAAAGGAAGCATCCTTGCTGTCTGAAATTCAACGTTAGAGGCATGAAAAGGGCCAAAAAAAAAAAAAAGGTCAGACAAAGAATTGCCACAAAATCTAGGAGGTGGCTAACCAATAAGTGCAGCTTGGTGGCTCAGAAAATGATCTGCCTGTCTCCCCGGCAGCTCTGTCACAATGTAAGTCACTAAGAAGTGTGACCCATGCCTCTTCCTTCCCAGGTACCAGGGTCAA